TTTTGAAGGTTACATGGAAGAAGTATTGTTTTTGTGGCAAATAAAAGGGGATCGCAGATAAGCAAGGCCAGTGAAAGATATTTTACACACAAAAAAGTTTTAAAGGAAATGTTGCGGTTTTCTAGAATGTGGAAAATAAAATCACATTGTGTAGTAAACAACTTACATGCAAGGATTTCGTATTCGGTTTTTGAATCAAGAACTCTAAGGAGTGGCACATGTTTCGAGAAAACATCCATTTTTTACTCATTTCTAATTATTTTGACTTACTTTTTTTCTTTTGAGGGTTAAACCTTATCTTTTTTGCTGCATTCTTGAACACTCGTATCTATTATATGCAAAATAGCGAGGTGTAGACTGTGCGTGCAAGCGACTAAAGGTGCTGTTATCAACCACCGACAAGTTCAAATCAGTCTTTTGTATTTGCAGTTTTCAGGGACTCAAATTTGTTGATGCTCAGATGTACCAGCTGAATGCTTTTGAACAGGCTCCACAAATCACACTTGGGATACTCGCTAAAGCGTGTGAGCGTCTAGCTAATCTGTAAGATAGCATATTGGGGGTTGAGATTGTTTCCAACCGATTCGCCCCTCCAAAGCTCATTTCGACCTAATCTAGGTGACATCTCAACACCTAATGTACTAAAGCCAGGGCCAAGAAAATGCCCCCTCTTCCTGCTGGCACTGAAGAGCCCGACACTTTGATAAGTACAGCCTCCACCACCAATAGCGGTGTCGCTGATGCAACACTGATAGTCGAAAGGATGGGGACTGCCAATCCCGCCCTTCTTAATTGTTGCTATGCTAAATTTAACTGTTGTGTTAACTAACACTCAAAGCTTTGCGTTACTTAGGGTTACAAGTGCATTTGATTTAAATTTTATGCCGTGAGAATTACTTTTCTTATTTATTGCATGGTTCTTGATTGCGCCCAGCATTTAATTTGAATTTAAACGTATCTTTCGGGTGTGTCAAAAACCATGTTTTTAAGTTCTTTCACTTTAGAACTTTAGGACATAGACCTTTTAATTTCAAAGGAAGATCCCCTTTTTCTGTTTAATTAACTTAAAGTACGGAGTCGCCTTTTTTTAAGAAAATAGCACACAAGTGATGCAATTTTGCCAGATGCCGAGCACCGACCAAGTAAAGCTCCTCAGGAGCACCTAAATAAAGCTTTTGTATTTGATTTTGCAGTATATAAATATTTAAAAGGTTTTGGATGAGCCATAATAAACAAGGAGTGGATATTTCGTTATACCATTTCCCACTAGGTGTGCCTGTACGACGTCTGGGGTAATAAAGAATCGCACCTCCAGTGCTCACCTTATGTTACCTTCCTTAAAATTTAACTCATCCACCCCTTCATTCACAAATTTTCTTTATTTAAATCAGATGCTATGAAACGATGAATCCTTCATTAAAACGATTTTGAAAAAATACCTTCTCTTTTTCTTGTTTTTTGAGGCCAACTTAAAAGGTCGATTAAATTAAAGTAGAAAACCTTTTTTGGTTTAAAAATTTTATCTCTACCCGCTGAGTTCAAGAAGTGAGTAAAATAGTGAAAAAAGAAGACTTCGGATATTTAATTCCTCCTTTGCATGGATCAGATTGTTGGTTCAAAAACTAGTGTCACTTCTCCAAGCAATTAGAGGGAGAAAAAAATCGTATTCCATCAACTCAGTCTGTAATGTTTATTTTGTCTGAGGACGGAAGACTCTGCAAGGGCTCATTCTGATAAGATGGTCGGATGCATATCGAATTAGCTACTACCCCCTCTTGTTCCATTTTTGGACAGGTTATGCATTTCTTCTCTGTTTTTTTGTAAAAATCCTCGTATTTACTCATATTTTCTATTTATAACTTATGGTTTATTTCTCACTTTAATGGAAAGTGGGTTTAGTGAAATCCACACTTCTCCGGATGTTTCTTCCTCTAAATTTAGATTGTAAATATTTTGATCACCTTTAACAAAACTTTCACAGAAAAATAATACATTTTAGTGTCTGAGGAAAGATGACATTGCAAAAAAAAACAGACAAACCAGTTTCTTCATTTTTTGCAAGCTCTAGTGCTGGCCAAATTATTCACAGAGAAGGGCGTTTTAGTTCTTTGCTGTGCAAGTTGGAGATCCTCCCTGTCTACCACAGTTTATTTATTCATTAAATTTTCATCACTTGTTCTTTGCATTCGCTTTTTCCGTAGTATATTACATTACGTTATTTTCCTACCTAAAGACCCAAACGTCGTGCTTCTCTGGGTCTTTTTGGACAAAATTAGTTCCATTTAAATAAAGTCACTAATTTTTGACGAAGACTAAGAGATAATAAATAAAAATTTCATAGCAAAACCAATTAATTGCTTTGCGATGGTCAAATACCATGGTAAAATTTCTCTCTGCATGTACAGATAATTTTGCCGTCACTCAATCTTATCAAAGTCGCCTCGTTTATAGCCTAAATTAACTAGTCAAAACAAAAATTTATGGACAGCTTTTACAGAGCCTGCTAAAAAAAGGCATGATGTGCTTTTTTTATATTCAAAATACATCAGCCCACACCTCACAACCCCCATGCCAGGAAATCAGGCTCCGGGCTTAGTTTAGCCACCCAATGAATCAAAATGTTTTAAGCGTTGAGATTAAAAATAAACTAACAAAAATAGATTATTTTGGCCTTAAACACGGGAAAAATAAGGTTAAGTTTCCAAATTTACTTGCTGTTAGCCTATTTTCTTGAAATGTAGGCATCCTGTACACATGGGAATAACTTTTTCTTTTGGACGGGCGCTCTGCGGACGCAAAGCACTAAATCATAGCATGACACTTCTCTCCGTATTTCTTAAGCAAAATACGTGATGGTACCTATTTAAGCAGAATAAAATAGAGTGGGATATAAACAATTTAAATCTTTTTGTACTGATGCGAATCGAAGATTTGCTACAGTGTCAACTTGTATCATCATGTTGCCAAAACGACGTCGACCTGTGCTGTTCTTGATCATTTAATTATCACTTTTCCTAATTTTCATTCTTTGTGAAAAATAGAAAATTTTGTAAAGGCTATCATAGATTCCCGGATATTTAAGGCACATTTTTTTTGTCAAACCTTTAACCTTGGTTCGAGGCCTTACGGGATAAATTGACATTCGAAATACTTCAATTTATTTGCACGCATCATTTTTCAATATTTACAAAATGTGAATCTCTCTTCAATTCCTTAGTGGAATTATACTAACTTCCGCTTTAGGTAGAATACCAGTGTATACTTTCATTTCCCATTTTTTGCGTCAACCGAAGCAGCTAATACATAAAGGCTGATCGTGTTGTCCACGTTCGCTACACCACCACTTCAAATTGGAGTCTCTCGACCACTTCCTTTCTTTAAGGGCAGTTGAATGGAAAATTAGACTACTTCTGACCATCCAACTAACTTTTAGGTATGCAAAAAGTGCAGAAAAGGTATATTTAGTTGGCTCTAATCTAACAGAAAAAAGGGATGTTTTACAATGATACAATCAACTAATTACTGCCTTTATTTCGATTAATGTCCTAATGCGAATTATGCTAATGAGGCTGACTTCTGTTAGAAATCCATCAACGCAAAATTTCACCTATTGCCTAGCCTCCCAGGCATCACCACCTTCCACAGTAGGCCATATGTAGCAGATTTTATGCCAACAAAAGACAAGTGAAAAACACTTAATTTTTGATAATTAGTTTTGTCACGAATTGACACGTATCATTTCACATGCTCGTCAAATCAAAATTACTTGTTGTAATTTTGACGAAATCTAGGAAGCACAAAATGTAAAAAGGAATTACAGAGGTCCCTTAGATTAACTTCTGGCAGGGGTCTCACCTGGATAAAACAAAAATGAATAAAAAATTTATAACTTTGCACTTTTAAAACTTCACATTTTTGTGTGAGTTTGTTTAAGCAATAAGTGTTATTGCTCAAATCTCTTTCAAAAATTGCATCCCATGTTAATATTTGGCAGAAGGCTCTTGTATGGAGAGGACAATAAAAGTTGAACGAATGCAGAAAAGGGTAATTTATTGCAGGCATACAAAAAGGGACTTTTTGGGTTATTTCTTCGACCAGATGAAGGAAAACCCTTAAATACTTTTTTAATGGTAGTCGCTGCCAAGCTTAGTGAGAGTTTTTTCTAACAGTGACAGAAGTGACAAAGAAATACTCAATTTTTCCTTTAAAAAGCAAATTTTTTTGTATTTAGGATATTTATTTGTGCTTAATTTTTTCTTTAACCATTCGCACCTAATAGTATTAGTATAATTTTATGGAAAAGTATTTCTTTTATTTTGAAAAGATTTTCGTCTATTTTAAGAATTCATTACTTTTTGTGGGCTTTCTACCACTTAAACATTTCATGACACCTTGTTTTTATGAACGCTTAATCTGTCTACACTTTAATTACAAGACGAGGTTGCATTTGAGCATTATCTCTACCTTGTTTGACACGAAAAGTTTTAACTAATTTAGAGGAGTACAATTTCATTTATGTGGATCCTCCCTTCTTATCGCAAGTACTTCAAACGCAGGGAAATATTTGTAAATTTTAGTAAAAAGTTAAGTGCATTTTTGCAGCTATGAAGCTTAGTGTAATTTAAGCAACGAGTGCATTCATTTAAATAATTTCATTAGATAATCATATATGTAAGGATTAATTTAGCTTAGCTTGGCTGGAAGAGGAGTGATAGCGGGTGCATTTAAGTGTTAGAGTGAATCCTCGTATTCAAGTTAAAATGCACAAGTGGAACCTGCGGTAATTTGACAGTGTTTTTCTGTTTAAATTTTACAGTATGCTTATTCATATTTGCCATGACCCTTTCCACAAACAATCAGTAAGTTTGGGTAGATCTGAGAAATTTACTATAATATAAGAAGAATTATGGATCTTACTAAGGTTTAAAGTCCATTATTGCAAGCACATTAGAACTAAATTTGTTTTAAAAACTTTTTGTTTGTTTTTCGGTGACTTTTAACTAACAGAAAACAAAAAGTTTATCATGAAGGCAACTTAACAAAAAAAACAAAGTCACTTACTAGTGTATTACACGTTTAAAATAAGTCAATAAACAAACAGGTCACCGTAATCAGTAAAAAAGCATGAATTTAAAATGCTAATAAAAATGCTTGCAAATTATAGCTAGTAACTCACAATGTGTTTCTTATCGGAAAAGTCTGGGACTGCGTACTTTCGACTTTGGGCAGCCTGTACCGAGTTGGAAAAGTAGTTGATGATTAATTTTTGGGAAGAGTCAGTCCATAACAACTGCTCGTGATCGTGGCCCGAGGTGTTACCAAGGGTGCAGCAGATAAGAACAATGCGTCCACCTTCTTGCACCATCCGACTGGGTGCGCTTCCAGCTATAGATATTCTGTTAGGATTCTGGCAAAAACCATTAGTTTGAGATCCACTCCATTGTTGCCATGCCAAAGAGGATTGGAATATTGCAAGAATTAAAATTAGACTGAAGAGTCCTATTTCCATTATCTAAGTGCCTAAAACGAAGAAAATGCAAGACCCGTCGTAAAAAAACTGAACGCTTTCTAAAAATCTGTTTTATTAAACTCTTGTTTGGACGGAAAAAGCGAAATGACCGAATATTACATTACTTCTTAAAGTAATCATCAATATCCAAATCTACAATGCATGTGCACAAAACCACGCTAAATGCTGTAAGAACTAGGTGCCTGTAAACAATGAAGAAATAGGGAATTTAAGTGCTACGCCTCACAAAAGACGAAATAGTTCCGAACGTACTGACTATAAATAAAGAATATTATAATTAAGGCTTTTAAAAAGCGGCCCAGTTGTCATCATTAGTCAAAGGACGAATTGAATTAGTTATTTAAAACAAAAAACACAAAAAGTAAAAAAGAAATCACTAGCCTAAAATTTAATAAAAAAATATATAATAATTTTGTAATATTATGAGAACGCGTTTCCGAAATAAGGCAAAAAATTCAAGTTTTAGTTTTGTTTGCTCCATTTACATGCGCTAAATATTTAATTCTGCACTACTATGTAAAATGTTTGTTGTTGCGCCTTGTTTGTCTATGGCTTGTGTTTGCTTAAAGGTGTTCAAATGTATACGGCTTTATTTGAGGTATCCCATAATTGCCAAATTTTCTACCCAATGTTTCTGTTTTTAGCACTGTTGGGCGAGTGATGAATAAATTGTCAAATAATCTGTGCAGACACATTATACTGCGATTAAAATCTTAGTTCTATTCTGTGCTTCTGGCTCACATCCACATACTGGTTCCCCATGTAAGCCGCGTGCTGAAGCTCCACGAGATTTCCCTGAGAACAAAAAGACAATACTTGGGCAGAATGTGTCCATTTAACATAAAGTATGGTCTAAAGCTACTAACATTCTAAAAAATTAGCCTACCATCAGAATTTACAATGGCCGAAACACAATGTTGCCCTTTACCAGAACCGACATTTAACAACCATAGCCACAAGATCTTAGTCGACGTTGAAAGACCTCACCTACGTGCCAATTTGTGTTAGTCTTTGTATTTTTGTAAAACTTGTTTAATTATTGACCGTGGTTGCACTTTAACTGGATCTGCAGTTTCATTTTGTAAAAAAACCTAATATAATGCCGGCTATCATGCGTGTCCATAACTAGGTGCAGAAACACTGTCTCGAGGATAGATTTATGTACGAATGGGTAAGATCTGACATGGTTTTTTGGAAATAGGGTTTTGCTTCTGTTCCTCCTTGTCACAATGCTTTCATTTCGGTGCTTTTAGCCATGTATATTTAGTTATATCTAGCTACGGAAGGAGTGCTGCTAGTGCTGCTTCCGTTACTAATATCTTTCCTGGAGAAGGCAGAATTAGTGTAGCTTTCGAAGGTAGATGCCATTCTGTTTGGGGTCTTCACCGATTTTCTCCCGCGTGGCAATATGCGATTCTTGTGTCACGCCAAGGTTTATCGCTCAGCTGAATATACTGAGATAGATATCCTTTAAGTTCTAGTTTAGTTTAGCCTGCCGTTAGTGTAGCACTTCAAGGTTTCTCAAAAGACAAAAGAAGACATAATGCTTTGGTAGAATTCATCTATTCAACAAATAGAAGGGGTCCGTGCTGCTTGCATGGTACGTCGGTCAGCTCGCCCTAAGAAGGTACAATGGTCGAGGCACAGAGTTATACTTTTTTAAAATTGGGAATCTGGCAACCTGTGCATTGCAATGCTATGCAATGAAACATATTTATGTAATACGATAGTGGTTTATCCCTCGGTTCTGGTGATGCGCCACTTTTGTACTTCGAATTAGCCCCCTTGTACCTCGCTGGGTGGGCTGGCCTTTTGGGCCATGCCAATAGCCCAGACACCTTCTTCATGCTGATTATATATATTCTGCCCGAGTATTTTGTCTTCTTTCGTCTTCAGGGAGTCTCGGGACGCTACATTTAGAGGTTAATTTTTTAGTTTATATATATCTACGTTACTAAGACGAAATGCAATGTATCATCCCCAGATTAGTTCTCCAAAGACCTAAAATAATTAAAAATTGTGTTGTGTGTTGAATGTACTTGCAAAGAAAGCAAAATGTGGGCTTTATATTTAGAATGCTTTTGTTTTGAAAATATACAGCAGTGTTAGTGAAATAAAACTTGTTAAAATCGTATGCTCTGCCAGTCATTAGCGTTAAACCTTTTACCTTTCAATCACAAAAGCTTTTAATGAAACCTAAACTGAACACTTTATAGTAGCTGTTGCAGTATATTCATTAGTTCTTATGCATATATGCAGGTACTAACCCAAAAAATAGCAGTACAAATACTTCAAGAACCAATTTCTGTTAAAAAATTGTGTTTTGGCGTCACCGGCTTGTCTTGATTCTTGCTTTACCTCTTGCCGGGATACTTCGACGGCCTCAATTAGCACAACAGTTTTGTTTATAAAGCCACCTTGATGTGTCCTTGAGCAAGATCCGACTCTACCCGCATTCAAAATCCTGTTACATTTAGGTGATCTGCAGGATGAAACGTAAAATAGGCAGGGCGCTCAGTAGTGGTGATATTATAGCTTACACAACTGCAACAGCGTTATCGCGACAAAACGCTGATGATCGACCGTGCGGCGCTCATATTTCTGTCTTTCTTTCTGAACTAACTCTTAAGTTTTTAATAGTTACAACCGTTTGTTATTCTGTTATATTTTTAATAGATTAAGGTTGAGGATTTTTGCTACGAATTTCATTTTAGACGGCGGTGATCGTTGTGTGTTTTGTGATAAATGGTACTTGTGCACCAAATATAAAGTCCCCTATTTCTAACCAAATCTTTTTACTTCACATTTATAGAATTCACCATCCAAAGGAATCACTTTTAAGCGTTGAAAGCGGATTTACAAATTTTCGTGGTCTCATTAATTGGGGTCTTATCATGCTGCTGGTTTTTGGTGGCAAAATGGCTCTTACAAATCTAATAAAGTATGTCTCTCTCCGTAGCAACATCTTTTAAGCCTTCGTGTTTACAAATAAGCCAGTGTTTTCCCTTTTAGCAACGGTATTATCGTGGATGTATTTATCTGGCGTTACATAGTTCAGGGCGAGCACGCACAGCCTGGTGGATTGTTATTTATTGCTTGTAAGTCTTTCATCTTACTCTCTGAAAACCTTACGTTTAAATTTTGCTCTTGTTGTATTTTATAGTTAACCCTAAAAAATCCTGGAGGTGCATAGGCATTTCGTTTTTCTTTTCCCTTCTAGGCTCCAACGTTTTCATTCTTTTTGGGTATGGACTGGAATTGCTCTTCCTCAAATTTTCCGTCCCCAATTTTCTCTCTCTGTTCCTTGTCAGTCTCAACCTGTGCGGTTTGGTAATTTTTCCATACGTAGTGATTCTGTCCCATGACTGGAGTCCATGTGAGTTTGATATTATGTTAAATGAAGTGTTTCTTCCAATAATCGATCACTTAATCGGTAACACATAAACGGGTCTGCCGCTATTTGGTTCTTTATTTTGTTTCTTTTTCATATTTCCCTTGATTGACATTTGTTAAGTAAACTATACCATCCTAGTAAAACAGATCATTTATCTTATTTTTTTCCAAAGAAAATCAGTTAAAGCAGATGTGAACCTGCAGCCAAGTTTCACCGTCTTCTCTCTAGTTTGTTCACAAGTTCGAGGAATCTGGTTATTATTTATCACGCTAAAATAGTTTACAATGCATTGGCGTTGTCATTAGATCTCGGTAAATTGAATCAACTAAAACGTTGTTATGAATTGCGTTTTTGTTTATGCACCATTTTTAATAAACAAGACTTTTTAAAGTCCGATTGTTTGGATGGTCTTAATGCTAATGTGCAACAACTTTTAGACCTTATAATCTGCCCATTTGTCATATTTTTAACACAGTTGAACTGTATTAACAGTGGGGAAGCGAATTATCTTAAATTAGATTTTCTGTAAAAAAAGCGTTGCACGGGCGTTCCCTTTTTTGGTAAGCTTTAGTCATTGAAGTGGTTATTGAGGCATGGTTACCAGTATCAGAAGTGAACTTGATACCTCGTATAGTCTTCCGCTTACTTCCCTAGTCTTTGATAACACATCTAGCTTTTCTCTGGTGCGTTGCTTATTCGCCATTCTACTCTTATTAAATGCATTCGTCGATTGTTTAAGTAGATGGTTAGTTGGTGTTTTTGCAAAATTCTGTGCTATTTATTGGTAGTTTTTTCGTTTAAATTCAAAGAGATATGTTGCAGTTTTTGTTCTTTCAAAATAAATTTTGCAATTTTAAGTCGAACTTCACTTTATGTGCTTTCTTACTTCTGTTATTGCTTTCTTTACACTAAAATTCAGTTCAAGTCAATCGTTTCGCCAAGAGCAAAAGATTTCGCTATCAAAGCAGCCTTCTTAGATCAAAGTCACTTGAAACATAGAAGGCAACATTTATTCCACTGCTAATTCTTGCGATATCCTGTCAATTAGTGCTGCTAGCGAAGTTTTTCTCTGCATCATCCATCAGGAGCCTTATTAGTAATCTAGGAGAGCAGCTCATTTTAAGTGGTTTAAAAAAAATAATCTTGCCCCACGTATGAGGCCCTATTCTAGGATCTGCCAGAAACCTGTAAGTTTGACAGTCATGAGAAAGTGAAGATGTTGATTTGTTCACTCCACTGCAGTTCATTCCGCGATCATTGCCACTAAGCGTCAATGAAGAGATATTTTTGTATATTTTAACATTTCACTTTCCATAATGTCCTAACTCACACCTAATTGTGCTCAACACGAAAATTACATTAACTTGTCCATCAGATGTTCTTGTCATCGCGTATTAGCAGTGCATCCTACAATCATTTTCAATTTCTCCAACTTATGGTGAAACTTTCTGTGCGTGCTGTGTATTAAGTTACCCTTTCTACACATTCTCTGATATTTCCAACAAAATGCTTTTTTTTTTCTCTGTCTCATGGTAAAGCTCTTTCTTATGATGGAATCTCAACCCCCTTCTAATTTACTTTTTGAAGTTGTACACTGATTAAAAACTTCCAAAACTGCAAAAACTTAAGTTGCCTTTCCTACACCTTCTCGGTGGAAATTCGCAGCAGAATATTTTCTTGAGTCTCACATGTATTGCTGTTAGTTCGTCCCTATCTCTCATTAAGGTGCTGCTTCATAATGTAAAGATGCTGGAAACAGTAAAGCACAGATAACGGACTGCAGTCACTACCTTCAGCTCTTGCAGAAATATGGCATTTCTTTTGATAGTGTCTCACCTCATTTCTGGAAGTTTTTACAATTCAACTAGTTTATAGTTATTGACCTTTGTGTGCACAATCTTTTACAGTTCTTTCTATAATACCCAATGCATTAACTCCAATAAAGGGGTAAAACCTCGCTTCAAGCGTTTTTGGGTTTTCTTATTTGATTAGTGGAGTCACACTTTATGATACGAAGGTAGCTGTACCTGTTTACCACGAAGTAGCAAATGATCCAGTTTGTACTCCATTATGGTCGAATCCGGAGCAACTGACTAGGATCATTCGGCATCATTTATCCCACTGCTGTTCCGCCAATGTCTGAGAGACGAAATCTCTACTTCGGCTAGCCAATCAAAAGTTAATGTATATCTTACAATGCTTCTGATATTTCAAGGTTATTCTTTAATCAAGATGTCTTGGGGTATTTGACTATATACGGACGGCGTCAGGGAATCAGTCCCCACCAATTTTTGTCCATCTATCTTATCACCTCAATAAATTATTGAGCCACCCTGCTATTGATAGGCTTTCTTAGGTCTTTTTGATCCTCTTCTGTCTCAGTATAAACAATTTAAACCATTGCATTCTTTTCCTCCATGTCCTTGCGCCTTCCATGTAGAGTTTGGAACAAATAATCCGCCTAATCACGGCATCCTTCATTTTCTGTTTCACAGTGGATATCAACTGTTTGAAACCAGGTGACTTTCGTGGGAAGCCGTTTTGTGTGAGTTGATGAAAGCAGGCATGCCTTCCCAGATAAGTATACGCATTCACATGCATGCATGTTCTGACTTGTGCAACATGGCTTAATAGATAGGCAATTATCTTGTGGCAGCTTGCTTACCGATTTACATTTATGTGTGCTAAGACACAATTTGTGGCAAAATATTTATCTCCTCGCTTCACCTCTACCATTTGATTCTTGCGCCGCATTCATTCATTGCTAATTGGATCTTTTACTACAGTTTTGACTCCTCTGTGGAAGTGGTTCCAGTGTGATTTAGTCGTTTATTTTAAGTAAGGTTTTTAAATGATCTGTCATAACAGCTCTGTTGCTATCACTTTTGTGCCCCTTAAATCAATCTTTTCATACCATAACTGCTCCAGAGATTGCATTACGTCTCTGAGTTGCCTAAACACCTCATTTTGCTCAACTTTCAAGGTGACTTCTCACTAGAACTTTAATCACTTTGCACGGATTGGGTCATGGATCATTTGCTCAAATTTCCAAACATATCTGACAGCGGAATGTAATCCTATTTGGACTCGGGGAGTCGTTGCCAAGACAATTTTGTGTAGATCTGTCATTAACATTCAGAGATTTCTTAGAAATTCGTGCTTACTAGATAATTTACTTCTTCATAATAAATACGATTAGCTCGACTCAGCAATACATGTGGAATCATAACCTTCTGATCTTTCTGTTGTGGTATCATTTAATCATTATTTACGTTATACTGCTTCTGTAGTTATTCTCAAGTGAAGGGAAACCGTGTCGGAATGAAAACTTTTCGCCAAATGTATCATGGTGATTAGATCATTTGCCCCTAAGATTTAAACTTTTCCGTCATTGGATAATGCTAAATAATGCTAGATGAGAAATTCTAAAATTAAGCATAATTTAAGTTGTATTATTCAAAAATTTTAGTAAACACCTCCTGATAACCTATTAAAGCTGCCATTTAACCGCCTTATTAAGTATATTTGGAGTAGGTTAATGGCAGATTGCCTGCTTTCTCAGTATTTTTTTGTAGATCTAGTACATCATACCCCTTTCTGTTTAGGCATGCAGTTTTGATCGCATAATCTGGAAGGCGTCAACTACGTAGGTCGTCCATATTCCTGTTTTAGACGCTACCAGCAGTTGAACGTCTTTCCCATTTCGAGGAAACGTTTGGTTTGTAGTTTTTAAGACTAACCACTTTTAGAAGATCGCCTGTGCTGCTCCCCACTTTCGATCTACTCGGTGTAGTATCTTTCACATTTTCCCCCTTTAGAGTCCGTAGCTCTTTCACTTGTCATTCAAAGCTATTAAGACTTTAATGTGATCAATTTGAGTGGCTTTTAAAAGAAGTTCTTGTTGGCAGGGGGCTTGGAGCTTGAAATCCACAATCTCAATGAAGAAGTGGAAAGCTCCGTTTTTATGACGAAATCCCATATTAACTTCATCCAAATGATGTCTTACGCAAACACTCATTCATTTTTGGCCTTTTTGACCCGTGTGATCTTACAACCCGATTATGTTCACTACTTGACCGAGGTAAACCCTGCTTCACGGATCCTTCACACAAGCTCATCAATTTTGACAGTGGAGTAGGCTCCACTTGAGCTCGAGTGTCCAGTTGTTAAGTAAGCACTTTTGAAATTCACTGAAGGGTATGGGTTTGTCCAAAGAATGTCACATCCGTGAAACCTCTAATTATCTCATCCTATGCGTAAATTACCAGTCCTTCCGTGGAACTGACTACAGTTGGTCCCTAGACTGGTATTTGCTCCTCTTTCTTCCTAATCGAGGTGTAATGATCACTTGACTTTACAGACGAAAATTGAAAGTGATTTCTAAATTTGGAGATGTTGGTACCGAGATTTTTTTTGAAAAAAGAGGAAAACTTGGATTTTGCAGTACAATAATCAAGCGAACTGAACTTTCTTAGCCCTGTTTATTGTTCCATTTGGGTGAAAAGTAGTTGTAATTGGCCTCACCCCTTCCTCATCATACATGTGAACATGCAAACATTCTTTGTTTATTGCTGCGCCGGCCTTCCGACTTAAAGTGCATCCACCCGGCCCATCACGCCACACCACAAAGCGGTCACTCTTGAATCTTCGGTCTTTGTGTATCCTAGCCCCATGTGATAGGGGAATCTCTATTGAGACGGTTATTTTTGGCAGGATATTGCAAACTCTCATGCCTCGTGACTCTAGTTCATTGGAAAAATTGACTTGAACCGGAAAAGTGCGTAAAATCATATCCCTCCTGGATGCATTCAATTGGATGCAATACATCTTGACACGTGTTGAAACTAATTCCAGCCTTTTTTTATTCTCCTAGTCTTCTCCGCCCCTTGCATTTCAATGTACATTGTCATCTTCCTCAAGATGTGGTCCTACGCACACGTCAACTCGTGGTGTCGATCGGCTATGAAACGTCGATCTATGGGTGGTGCTTCCCTAAAGGCGAAGGATCTCTTAAAACCTAATCATGCTGTTCTCAAACGTAAGCAGCAAAAGGCGGCTGCAGGAGAGACAAGTAGGTTAAATTTAAACATCAGAAGAAGGTAATTTGTGGGTTCATTTTGCGTATATATGCAAATCAAATGTCTCATCTTACGAAATCGAAAAATTATATAGGACTTGCCAACGCAGACTAACTGGAGTCCGAAATCATGCTACACGGTTATCATCATGACTAATAATTGTAGGAAATAATAAGCGGCTCAAGATATTGCTTCCCGTAGAAGCATGTGGTCGCTTGTTCCGCCTTTATCAATAAGTTAGTTTGGAAGATTTTACCGATTCCATCAGGGGACAGGGATAGGCGTTATCATCCTCGAATGGTGTAGAATTCACCACATTCCTACGAACTAGGGACTAAATGATCGTTTCCTGATTAACTAATCGCCATATTCAGGACCAGTAATAGTCATAGTGTGAGGTTTCTCTCTTGAAATTACTAACAAAAATTGACCATGATTGACTAGATACAACTTCAGTTAGGCCTCAGTGACAAACTTCACTATCTTTCTAACGTCTAAATTAATATAGGACTTTGATTTATTAGAAAATATTTTACAGATAAGATAGCGAGGAAATATGTAACTTGATAGACCTTCATTTCCACATATCTCGAGAATTATACGAGCTGTCGTCCTCCTACCTGCTTAATTTTGATCACTCACTCATTTCTTCCGTACCTGCAAACACGCCAGATTAGTTTAATGGAAAATGTCTTGTTTTTTTGGTAAAAATTTATTTGAATCAATTTTCGTCTCCTTGTGTCATTCATGCTACTATACGTTGTAGAAAAATTCCTTCCGTCTTCTTTTTTTATTGATTGTCCGCATTAGTCAAGTTGGTGTCAGCACGCCAGTCAGACGGAAGGACAAATAAATACTTTGTTGACATCTGTTTACCCCTTTTGTCAGCGTTTTGTAAATTGTTCACCCATGGGTAGAACGATACATAGGTACTGCGTAACCACTTAAAGTGCGTCGATCCTACGTGGAGTCCCCATTCCCTATGACCTGATCTATGAAATCTAGGATATTTTCGAGCAAAATTGTATTTTGTTTAAGAAGTTCTTTTGGGTTTCTTGCACCTTTCTTATTAAATACTTCATGTAGAAAGTAATTCTTTGTTACCCATCCTATCCTCCTTAAAAAAGTCCTTGCCCACTTTTCCTGAAGATTGCACTGCTTACTGGTGCGCCTCAGCGCAAGTTTGTACAACTTCAAGTGTTCTCAGGGTCAAGGAATAGGTAAAGATCATTTTCTGCAAAAGGAATGTTTTATGTTTTTACCCCACTTCGGGCCAAATCCCTATCACCTTTTCCTTGTAACTTATCATATTCTAACTTTAACTGTTTCAACACCCATCAGGCCCAAACCCTGTGGCATAAATTGTTTACGTGTGTGTGCTCCTGGGTCTTGTCCGACTTCCCGGCCATAATAACCATGAGATATGACACTTCACTAACTCGAGTGAAATAGGCCGGTGGCCCACCCCGGGGGTAGGCGCAGATGGCAAGTGCAAAGTTACATTATTTAGCGGTCTTAGGCTTGTGGTGAGGATTAGCACACCCAGTCTATCTGTATGTACTATTGACTAAACAAAGAAATTGAATGAGACTTCGAGTTTCGAGACCCTAAAGTCTTCGATTACTAAGCGCAACAATTGGAATAGAAGGGTTTCTGGGAGTTGCAGGAAATCTCTCCTCCCCCTCTCCGCTAGAAAATGACTCAAGGAGCTACACACAAGACGACGGTGAGAAGTTTGTGCTTTGAGCACACACCAACTCATGTTACTCCACGGTGAAATGTGGTTACAGCCTGATAGGGTTTATAAGTTTTACAACCACCTCTGTTCTAGGTGATGGATTTGGCTCTGTTTTCCAGAGATAAGCAACGTATCAGGCTCAAATGTTCGTAGTATCCGCTCCTCCTCCTACTCCCTCCGCCGATGTTGAGTAGCTGAATTTCATCTTCCACACATAAACGCATTCTGCTCTTGTAACCGTAAGACGGTTTTTACATTTGCCATTAATTTGAAACATTCCGATCATTTGTGTTTTGTGATTGCAAGGACATGGTACTATTGCAGTGTATTGTGAACACCTCTTGATTCTTCGCTCCTCGACTGTGCGCTGTTAGAACTTTCTAATACAGAATTATTAGTCTGTTTTTGCAATTGCATTTGTCAAAACAGTCAATGCCTTTATTTCTTGGTGTGGGAGCTGCATTCAAATGCAACACATTTTTGTTGACAACAATAGGGTACACAAAGCTTTTCCATCTCTCCAAAGCCGATGCGGTCCTGATTTCATTAAACCTGCAGCTCTTGGACTATTGTTTCTTCAAATCTACTCAACGTCTTAGGGCATGGCATGAGTAATTTTGACTGCTAAATATAGCTGAATGGCAGACGTCTTACAATTCTTAATTTTGGACAAGGTTTTTCTTGGCATTGTCTGTCGAAAGGTCAAAAATCATTTTACCGACGCTAAAGTTGGCCTGATCTCCCCATTTTAAATTGCGAAAGATTGATGGTTTTCCCAATGGAAGTTTGATGTCCATAGCGGTTCGCTTTTGAAGTGAAAGCGCTTCTTTAAGTCCATCTCTTTTTATTAAATGTGTCGTCATTTTTTAAATGTCGATTTTAATGTCTAAGAAACATTAATGTACAGATATTGTTCGTAGCTCTTTAGGGTAAAACCTGGTTTGGTTGTGCTGCAGAAAGATCTAAGAGCTATTGATTCAAATCCCTAGCGTGCCTCTATGAAGAAATTGAGGTAAATTTTTGCGGTTTGCCAAATTCTTGAATTATTCCTCCTCAAGTACTAGAAGACTTGTTAGGCATTCTTTTACTTTTAGCCCAGAGTAAACTGTGTTTTGTTTTTTGACTCCGTGGTCGTCTGCTCACTTCACTATCAGGTTGAATGCCCTGAGGCTCTGCAGAACCAGTCCACACATCGGCATTCTTTTTGCGAGCAGAGGGTGAAATGTGGTTTATCTTCAATGCCGTAAATTGACTATCAGCTTGGCCCCTTCGTTCTTCAAGTCTAAAAGACGTCGACATCTTCCTTTTCAGCCCGAACCCAGAGCACAGTGAAGGATCCCGTGGGACTCGAAGGTTTCAATTCCTCTCGAGCTGATCCTGCTGCAGAGGATGTTTGCAAAGACGACAAAGGTGGAGATAGCCCTGCAGAATTGGAGGAGCCCGATTTAAACAAGATATTTCTCCGTCTCACGAAATATCCCGACAATCTTACTCTTGGCGATCTCTATTACTTCATGTTTGCACCCACGCTGTGCTACGAGCTCAACTTTCCACGCACATTTTCTATTCGCAAACGATTCCTCCTTAAACGCATGCTCGAACTTGTGAGTTGACATGTTGCTCAAATTCCCATAAAAATTAATTAGTTTTGTCATTAACTCACTCAATCTTTTGTTCTAATCAAATAATTACATTTGTAGAACTTGGTATTGCAGCACTACTTATTTTTTGTTAGAAGTAGTATCGTTCCGACGTCTGTTTATCCTTAATACGTATTCTAGCACCCAATAGGTGGAGAATTATTTCGCAAATTCACCTTGAGAGGCTGTATACCACTTAAATCTTACGAAAAAGAAAAGTAATACATGAAAGTAGCCGAACTTTTTCACAGAGTTATTATAAGAGAGCTCTTATGCTGTTTAAAAATGCCGCGTCAAGATACTACTTAGTTTACCGTCTAAGCTTCGTTTTAAACTTTATCTTCTGATTGAAAAGTTGTTATTTGGACAGTCTTTTGAGTGAAATGCCTAGGGCCTAGTCCGGCTCCCATTAATGACAAATTTAGCTTTGCACGTTGGTATACTACTTGTTTTCTTCTCGTCTCCATTGGAAACGTGTAGACAATCGCTAATACAAAATTTGGGAGATATTTTCGCAATCTGAACCGTAAAAATTAGCAGTCGAAACCGCTGTTTTGTATTTGCATTTGGTTGGACTGCGCAGGTTATCAAGTCCATTCTCAAGCTCATGAATCCATATTCTACTTAATTCCCCATAATGGGCGCAGTAGTTTTGTCTCTATATGGTCCTAATTTTGTAATGCAGCGACTCAAAATTAAAGTAAGCGTAGAACTTGCTTGTGAGCGTAAAACAGTGGCAAAAATTCTTTTTAAAATCTGGAACCGTTTAACCAAATATCGGACATACTTTGTTCAAAAAATACAAGAATCTTCACCACTCTGTTTATATCAGGGCTGAAGAGTCAAGTATTTGCAGGCAATTAGGACCAATATTGTTGTTAATATTTTAGCTTAATTTAAGTTGATTTGGAACGTTTTATCTTAGTTCAGAAGTGATCTAATCCATACGAGTTGTGAATATTCCTGCTTGATTTCACTCGAGATAATGTTAAGCTCTAAGAGAACTAGCAAAAAGTCCCTTTTGGCACTGATGCATTTTTGAGTGAAATGGGTAATTAACACATCGAATACATAATTCCCGGCCGTTACTACTGAGTTCTTCTGTGCAGGGCTAGAGTAGGGTCATCGGCAATCGCCACGTTTGATACCAAGGTAGCATAGATGCGCGTTGCTTTGAGTCTCTAACCTGAGCTTCCATGTAGCATAAATGCAATAAATCTACTGAAAAAGATAGTAAATGTAAATTAAAAACGACTGGTGTCATACTTGCACAAAACGTGAGTCTGGACTCTCTGGCGGCGGTCATTTTTTCAATGCGACCCTCCTAGTGGCCATGACAATTGTGAAGCATGTTTTCATCCGGAGAAACTTTAGTCTTATTTAGATGGTAACTACCTCTGTGGTATTTCATTTACAATTCTGGAAAATTTTTATGTCAAAATGACAAATAATGCCTTTGATGCTCTAATGCCATTAGGGATTAATTTGTGTAGTTGATTTTCACTACACCAAACGTCGTGGCGTTCTCATTGATCAGCTTCTAGGCTACCAAATGGCCAAAATGCTATCAGGCCATGGCAACTGAAAGGAGCCAGGAATCATTTTTAAACATTGTCGTGGAAGATTTTAGATGCATTTATTTGTCCACAATCTTTTATTCAAAAGGCGAGACCACAAAATATGCATGAAATTGAGCTATCTAAGAACAAGTATTCTTTATAACTATAAATAGTTTGTTCTCTGTTTAAACAGCCATCTTCTACTGGTCGGCGTCGTTCTCCATGTTGCTCTCCTGCTTTGGTTTTTTTATTACAGTGCAGATATGGCAAACCATTGTTTTGTTGTCATAATCCAAAAGTCCTATCCCGAAGAAATGTGAAATTATTTAGTACTCAAATACGTTTGTCTAATCAGACACTGATAGTGCCGTAATTTACGGTCGTCTTTTGACACTCCAAGATAGCCGGTAGTACTGAGATTTTATGGAATTATTTTAAGCCGCACCGTTGCTTCTAATTTCTCATTTTTTCCATTCAAATTTATCTGTTAAATGTGTGTCTGAAAAAACCATTTCCTTTCCCATAATTTTATAAATGTTTCTTTAAAAATGTCTTATTTTCTCTGACTCTAGTGTTTCACCCAAAAGGGGTGTCAAAAGTTCCCTTTGTTAGCGAGAATGGAGGGCCAGCTTATTCATCACGCACTGTTTTCAACGTATTTAAAAAATGTGGTCGACATTTTTCGTCGCCTAGAGCAGTATGAGTGGCTAAACAATGCACCAAAGTTGCTTCATAACTTTAAAACCTCAACAATGTGCATTTTTGTTCCAAAGGCGTTATTTCTAACCCATTATTATCTGAAATGTGTTAATTTTCTCTCACGCCTAAACCTAGTACAAAGAGGCCAAATTTTTCAAGTGCAACACCCGTGTCACGTATAAGTGACGTCAAGATTTTCTCATCGGGGCTCGACATCACACACATATGGTATGCGTTTTCTATCAGTTTATGGTAATGAGTTGCACCAAATCGGATCGTAAGTCGATGTTTTGGGTAAAAACAATAAAATGGACGCAGGATTGTGTTTTTGCTAGAAGATGAGTCCATGGATTTTTGACTAGTATTAAAGTTCGTCGGAGAATTGAAGGACAACTAGTGTCACATTAGAACAGCCAATCATCCAGACTGTAGCGACTGACTTGCTCTCTGCGATCCTAGGCGTGGAAGTTTTAATCGTTTGGACTACTTTTCTATCACTTTATGAAAATCAGAAAACTAGTCTGTGCAAAGTTACTTCCATTTTTTGGATCTGTACAAAATAATCATCGGAAGTAAGTTCCAATTCTACTACTAGACAACTTCGCCTCCCTTTCAAATTACGCAGATGTTCCGCATCGGACGGGACGCTGACAAGGCATCGACGGTGAAAGAATCCTAGGATTTTTCTCCACTTTTTAGCTTTGTTTTAGCCAAGTGATTGTAATGCTGGTTCAACAGTGGATGGTTCCGGGATTAAAGAGTTCTGTCACACCCTTCATTCGTTCGCGGTGGATCTACACAGTGGAGAGGTTGTTGAATATCGCCATTCCAAACCACCTTATCTGGCTCTTGTGCTTCTACGCTCTATTCCATTCCTACCTCAACGTTCTCGCTGAACTTATGAAATTCGCGGATCGTTGCTTCTATGAGGATTGGTGGTAAGAGAGGGGATTTGATATTATCCCTGTACGTCTATTTCTCGAACGGGAGGGTTATTGTAATGTTCAAAGTCTTAGATCGACTCCATCAGGGGAAAATTGTGATTCATGCTCTTAACATCCTTGTAATTCTTACATTTGGTTTCAAAGTTGATGATACCGCTTTGTGAAGTCATTCTCTCATTACGTAAGAGCTATTTTAAGCTGCCGAAAAGTACAAATTGAAGGGTACTAAATTCACTTTGTTGGCACAGACACTCTTATCGCCTTTTTTGGTCTGTCCGTAAGTTTTAATGCCCTTTTGCTTGTTGTACTTGTGACATTTGTTCCGCAACCTTGATGTATTTTGAGAATGGGCGCTTGACCGGTTTGCTTTGTATCTATTTACTCCATACTTTTAACTTAAAGTACTGAGTTTATGTTCCATTCTCAGCGTCAGCATCCTTACGAATAATGGCCGACAGTCACCTGTGTGGCTTAAGCTCCCATTTAACCCGCGTGTCACCGAACTGCCAGGAATCGGGGTGTTAACAGATCCAGCGCCCACATTCAGCTTCTCGTAACCTCCTCAACTATTTGTAAATTAAATTGAGAGTTTATTTTGATCACCTCTTGATAATGACTGTGGAGCTGAATAAGTGGAGTGTTATGCATTTATTCCATCAAAATCATCAACACTCTACGGAGAGGAATCCTACCAAATATACAGAGATGAGTTTGTGCTCTGGACGCAAATTACAGGTTGTCAATCTTTCCGCTCTCGGTGGTTCAAGTGTAGCCACCGTGTCAGAAGAAAGCACGCTCAGTTTTGATTAATTGCTTTACCATACCCTGGAGAGGTGTGGAAATTGGAGACCTTTTTATAATGAGCTTCATATTAAGTGAAAAAGTAGCAACCATGAGTCATACCAAATAGTTCTAAATGTTTCCTTCTCATCTTCTAGGCTATCATCCGTGTAACATCACCTTTTCCCGTATTGCCAATTTACCATGTTTCGGCTACCACCTGCATTGGATCTGTTAGAAGCTTGGGGTTTCAACACTTTACTGGAGTGTTTAAGTTAGTGGTAGGCCTTTTACACCCATGACATCTTTTGATCTGTCATTTATAATCCTGTCTGACTGAGACAGTACTTAGAAGGAAGTGTCCTCTGCCAAGAGGGCACAAAGATCGACAAGTATTTTGTTCATTTACTTGAAAAATGGCTTGCATTCTATCTTTTCTGTCCTTTTAGTGGGAAGATTGCCTTTAAAAAACCCTTTCAAAATTCATTATGCCTTAAACACATATAATTCGCCTGTTTTATTGTCAAATACTGAATTTTTTAACCATCAGAATACTGCATCATTCAGGTAATGTTATTGGCTAGCAACCATAAGTGCTAAGGTTCGCTTCATTTTTTTTCTATCTAGAAAGTTGTTTATGTAGGTCCTGCCAGTCTGATGAAATCTCTAGCATAACAATTTGGTTGATTTGGATTGGAAAACCTGTTTATTTCTCTACCTACTTCCTCGTTTGGATGCATTTTTGGCCTTCCCTATATTCCCCAAATTTGCTTCTAAACTGTCACCATTCGTCACTTAATTTTTAGGCTTTTATGATAAAAGATCAAAAATCCTACCATTATTAAAGGAGTTAATTCAGATGGATAAATTTTAATCCCATTCTATGAGCTGGAACCCTTGCCGAGAGAACACACACTGCTCCTGTTGAAAGCACTCTCAACAAGAGCACTTGACCGGTAGTGGCACTTTGACGCCAAAATATCATTTGACAAGTAAACAAAAACCACTTATTCTCGGTGCAGTTGCACTGAGAATACACGACTGGTGGGACCAGTTTTGCATGGACTCACCCCAGTGGCACTTTTTTCTCCAATTTTTTCGAAGGAATGCCCCCTCGGTGTCAGAATTCTGGTCATCCTGGAACATTCCAGTGCATCGTTGGTGTCGTAGGTAAGTCTTTTTTTACTTTTCGAAATGCCCCCTTCTTGTCTAAGCCCGCAAGTTTTGCAATATATGTCGAGATTTTGGCCAGGCAACCAAAAGTTTACATTAACAGCTCTTCTTGTTTTTGCTTTGTGGTTCCACCTTCAGGCCAAATATCAAATCGGCTTTATCAATTAACACATGACAATCATGAGAATGAGATAATTGTCAATTTATAACTGTTCACGCAAATTGCAGACGCTGTTTTTTTGAAGAGATTTTTCGGAATACACATAGCTCATGAAAAAGAAAAGGTCTGATTCGAGTTATAAACGATTCAGCGATGATAATATAAAAGTTGATTCTTATGATCTTCTTGTTTATGTCTAGAAATAAGCATGCAGCCTTTGAGTTAAGTGACTTGTCAATTGACACAGACCAAAGTAGAAGAGATCTTATTTACTGTCATACTCTACCCGGAAAGGCTTTCTTTGATGCGGGATAAATTGCCTTCTCAGAGCGACCACAAAATTCGTCGCCATTGCCCTCTTGGACCACTTGACCACTTCCTTACCCATATCGGTAGCATTCCTTCATGTTCTAGACAGCTGGACTACCTAGAATACAAATTTTACCACTAATGTGTTTGGAAAGTGTATTCAAGTTTTAGTTAACCGACTCTAATTTTTTTCCATTCGGATCACTTTACACTGAAGTCTTAATCATTCAAAGACCTCATAAACTTGAAATCTTCTTCACCAGAAGCAAAATGAACAGCGTCTAGATAGAAACAAGCTAGGTGTGTGCGTGTCTGTGGCGTGGTTATTCTCGGTCAAAAGTGGGAGTCAGTCCTCCTAAAGTGTCCAGTTCATTATACGTGACACTACAAGGTCTCTCAAGGATAAGGTGGCCTTTTTCTTTAAGTTACATCCACTAAATAAACCCACCTTCTCACAGTGCGTTAGCCGGTGGCTCAAGTCTCCCTTGAGCATCAAAAACACTGTCAAAACAATTTGGTTTACTGGCCTAGATCGCCTCAACGTTGTCTTGATCATCTTCCTTTTTTACATTTTCGGGACCTTTGATTATGGGCCCGCAGTCAAATAGACCGAACACTTAAAATTTGTTTATATTCATGATCTACGGTAAATACCTTGTCGAATACAAAAACTCCTTTTGATAATTCTTAACACGCCTGCAAGTGCGACAGATTGCACCATAATCCTCACTGCAAGACAACGTTTGTGTCAAAAATACTTTTCAGAAGTAAAGACTCATTTTATCTTCTCCTTTCAATCACCACCTTTAAGCTGCTGTCTTTGAAATTAACAATGACAGTAACGTTAGGGATTTTAGACAACGAAGAATTTCCTATTGAAGCAGGTTTAGCCTTCCAGAGAGCCGTTTTAATACATCATCTTTGTCATCCCTAGACACATCTACAAACCATTGCTGATGCAAGGCTACACGCGTTTCACAGCTGCTTGTGTAGTCTTCTTCGTGAGTGCCTTCTTCCACGAGCTGATGGTGTCCGTGCCCCTCAAGATGCCGCGTATGTGGGCCTTCCTAGCCATGTTGGGGCAGCAGCCCTACGCTTTGATTGTGCATTACTACTGTCCCAAGGGCGGCAAACTCGGCAACATGGCCATGTGGCTTACGCTGATTTTGGGCCAACCCTTGGCCCTCTACATGTACTTCCACGATTACTACGTCCTTCGCTATAAATGAACTAGTCACCTGTCAACTTATCCACCTATATTTCTATCTTCCAAAGTGTACAGAATGGAAGTGAGGGTGTTGACGCTCTGCAATTGATTAACCTTTTGATACATCCTTGATCCGACCCCACTCCTCTAGTTTCCCTACTTTCTAATTTGTGAATGAGTGATTATACTTATGTATAAACACGCCTAGTTTTTTAAACCAAGTAATTTACATTACTTTTAAATATAACTTGATTGGTATCGCCTCAATTTAATCCTCTTATCAAGGACAGAGATTTAGACTTAGTTGTTTGGATGGTCCTAACGGTGGCAAAATGTAATCCATCCATATCCATTTTATTATAGAGATTACTTTGGAAGTATTGGAGGTTTTTAAATCAAGCTAGTACTGACAAAATTTGTAGTGAATAGAGGTTTTTCGTCCATTTCGACGCTTTAAAAGCCATTTTAAATCCACTGACCAAAGCCGGTGGCATGACGTCCTATTCATCTTATTAGTCCTCAAGACCTTTATAGCTTGACAACCCGGAGGCAACACGGTTGGTGCTGGCTAAACTTTTATTGTACGGTAAAAATGACAGGCCTCTTATACGACCGCCTGTTCGATACCAAATTAAGTTCTTTATGGTGGTGATTAAGACTGTTAAGCAGTTTATCACGTGGTCAAAACAATCCTTTCAAAAACCTACTGTAACTTTGGAAGACTTGCCAAATGCTCGTCAATATTGAGGCACAGCTCTATCGGCACACTTTATTTTAGTCTGTACTAGTTTCCTTCCTGGTGTGAATTAGAACAGAGACAGAGACGACATTTTTGTTTGAATTTTACTATTCGATTCACCTCAGGGATACTTTACAATGCCGATTAAAAATAAACACGAACAGTTTGCGATAAACGTTTACCAAATTGTATGTAAACTTTTGGTGCTTTGTTTGTACATTCACCTGAAAGACTAGCACCACTGGTTATATGAGAAAACCTACAAATTACACTTTTTATGATTGGTTTTAGCGCTTTTTAATCTAGCCTTACTCCATTTCTGACTGCACAACATGGCTTCGAGACCCTTCTAGTGTGAGTCTTTGTAGATTTGGTTGTCTCCACTGGAAGCCTTCGTCCTATGAAACGGTAGTCTCGTAGCTCCTCCATTGTGAGTCTTCGTAAATCTAACCGTCCTTGCTGGATGCCTTTAGCCGTTAGGGCTGTAGTCTCGCGTCCAGTCATACGTGGAGGGGCAATGGATACCCTTCTCCCGTGGCGGCCTCTAATGAAATCGTTTGTTCTGCTTGTCCTCTTTTATTTCATGTCAACTTTTACACAGAGACATTGGCCTTGTCCCCCAGACACCAATATGTGGGCAATACCTGCATTCCAAAAAGGAGAAGAGGTCCAATATTCTGTAAATTTATCAAATCTTACCTGTAATGAATCGTTTTAAATCATATGTCCTTATTTATAGAATTTACTTGAGCAAACTACCTGTCCACCGTAAATATCAAACTTTTAAAAAAGGATGGGCCCGAAGAGCGAAGTATTATTTCCTTAGCGCAAGCCACGTTCACAATAAGGAACAGCATATCAGGCACGTAAAATAACAGAGTTTCAACCCCTCCACGTTACTATGGTGCATAACCCTTTTTTTCCAAAAAGAGGAAGTTTAAGGCGTTAACTCATTCTCTGCAAAAAAATTACAACTAATGTAAAATATGCGTTTCGTCAGTAGTGCATTTAGTACACTATTAAAAGTTGACTATTATTTGATAATTTACTCCTTAGAACAACCCAAATTAGTGGAGAATATTTGCAAAAAAAATTCGGCCTACCCCCAGAGAAGAATGATAAGGACGTCGATTTAGGAGGTCGTGACATGGGTTATTTAAAGGTCAAGGCCAACATCACATTGCGAGTAACTTGGTCAATATTTTCTGTAAAGCACTAGAATGGTCGCCATTTTTGTGTTACTATCTTACGTTGCAATGCATGTCGTATGCAGAAGTCAAAGTAGCATGGCAGAAGCTATATTACTGACGTACGGAAGAACTATCTGCGGAGATTTAAGTGCTTGCATAATCAAACGCAGGGTTAAACAAGCTATCAAAGTATTGCACAGCCCCTCTCTCCCTTTGAGCATCATCCTCGGTGCTCCCTTTGATCGATCTTCCCCCTCGGCCATCACACGTAATCGGTGCTGTAAGCGAAAGAATCCGAACCAACGGCTCCAGTCATTGAATTTCCATCCATTTGAGAAGCTATTTGATCCCAACATCACTGATGCTACATGACAATTCCATTAGATCTAAAGCCTTGCCCTGTTGGGGAACTATGCTGGAGGCAAGAAAGTGCCCTCTCGCCATATTGATCAAGACTGGATGATGCTATACAATGCAGCTTTCTTGTATGCGCATCGCAAGTCGTAAGACCACAGCCCTAAAAGCAGTCATTTAATGCAAGATGAGGGCTAAAATGATTTCATTAGGATAGGATTTCGCGTCCATTCCTCTTCGATACTTTGTTTTTATTTCAATGCTGTTCACCCATTTATCTCTCTGGGTTCCATTTAGTTAGAAGAGGTGGCAGAGGTACCGCGTGTTT